CCAGAGGAAAAAAAATGATCATGTCACATACTGTCCCTGGCTAAAACCACTCAAATGTATCATCAGTATCACTCATCTTGCCTAGACAATGAAACTTCCCTGAGATATGCCTTAGGGTAGTAAGTCTATACTTGTTTACAGAGAGCCACTCCATTTAAAAAGGTCAACAAGAAAAACCAAGGTAAGAAAGATGAAAAAGATCTTGGAGTCCTCGTGGACAACAAGTTAAACATGAGCCAACAATGTGATGTGGCGGCAAAAAAAGCCAATGGGATTTTGGCCTGCATCAAGTAGGAGCATAGTGTCTAGATCTAGGGAAGTAATGCTACCCCTCTATTCTGTTTTGGTTAGACCACACCTGGAATATTGTGTCCAGTTCTGGGCACCACAATTCAAGAGAGATATTGACAAGCTGGAATGTGTCCAGAGGAGAGCGACTAAAATGATAAAAGGTCTGGAGAACAACCCTATGAGGAGCGGCTTAAGGAGCTGGGCATGTTTAGCCTGAAGAAGAGAAGGCTGAGAGGAGATATGATAGCCATGTATAAATATGTGAGAGGAAGCCACAGGGAGGAGGGAGCAAGCTTGTTTTCTGCTTCCCTGAAGACTAGGACGTGGAACAATGGCTTCAAACTACAAGAGAGGAGATTCCATCTGAACATGAGGAAGAACTTCCTGACTGTGAGAGCCGTTCAGCAGTGGAACTCTCTGCCCCGGAGTGTGGTGGAGGCTCCTTCTTTGGAAGCTTTTAAACAGAGGCTGGATGGCCATCTGTCAGGGTGATTTGAATGCAATATTCCTGCTTCTTGGCAGGGGGTTGGACTGGATGGCCCATGAGGTCTCTTCCAACTCTTTGATTCTATGATTCTATGATTCTAAGAACAAGAGCCTGTGGCAGACCAAAAGTCAACGATATCCATATGCCCTTCCTGGCAACACCAGCACATACAAAAAATGTCAACACCAGGAGTTAATTTAACTGCTTATCATCCAATAAAACTTATGCAATTCCACAGATAGGAATTTGTAAACAGTGTGTATTACATTTTATGTACGACAAACAAGCCAATACCTTCCCACACACAAACATAATAGATAAAAATCTAGGACAAGAAATGTTACATCAAAGATGGTGGAAGGAGGGTGGGAAATTAGCTGAAACAGTTTGACTCATCATATCAAGAAGTTCAACTCTGTCTCTTGTAGTTTAGAAAGCCATAATGACTTTTACTGGACTACTCTACATCAATAAACTCATCAATGCAAGAACGTATCTTGTATTGTCGAAGGCTTTCATGGCTGGAATCACTGGGTTGCTGTAGGTTTTTCGGGCTGTATGGCAATGTTCTAGAACAGGGGTCCTCAAACTAAGGCCCGAGGGCCAGATACGGCCCTCCAAGGTCATTTACCCAGCCCTCACTCAGGGTCAACCTAAGTCTGAAACGACTTGAAAGCACACAACAACAACAGCAACAACAACAATAATCTTATCTCATCAGCCAAAAGCAGGCCCACAATTCCCATTGAAATACTAATAAGTTTAAATTTGTTAAAACTGTTCTTCATTTTAATTATTGTATTGTTTTTAAGTGTGTTTTGCACTACAAATAAGATATTTTCAGTGTGCATAGGAATTCATTCGTGTTTTTTTTTTTTTTCAAATTATAATTCGGCCCTCCAACAGTTTGAGAGGCTGTGACCTGGCCCTCTGTTTAAAAAGTTTGAGGACCCCTGTTCTAGAACATGGCAGTTAAAGCAGGATCAAAGTGCATTAATTCTACAGCGTAAATGCACCCATAGAGATGCACCCACAAACATGTCTTTGGCAAGAGCGATGAGTGATGTGTTGACATACAAAAAACCTACAACAGCCCAAGAATGTTTCTGTTGCCATAACAACTACTAGTTTGTTAACAGTCACTGTAGGGCAATTATGATTGTCTGGACCTGTTGAAATTTGATTTCCTCTGACAACCTCACTGGTTAAAACACCACAGGAACTATAGCACAACCTCCATATCCAAGGACTTGATATCCCTGGTTTCACTCACCCGCACTTCAAAATGCATTCCCTTTGGAAGTGCTTGTGGGACTCTAGGTCCTCTAGTGCAATTCTATGGTATTCCTTCTGGAATGCACTTCAATCCTTACCTCGGTTATCCCACCTGAACTTCCCATTGAGCTGTCTTTGGCTGTCAACACATCACTCATCGCTCTTGCCAAAGAAATGTTTGTGGGTGCATCTCTATGGGTGCATCTACACTGTAGAATTAATGCACTTTGATCCTGCTTTAACTGCCATGGCCCAATGCTAAACCATAAATCCTGAGATTTACGGTTTAGGGAAGCTCCATCACTGGGTTGTTGTAGGTTTTTTCGGGCTATATGGCCATGGTCTAGAGGCATTCTCTCCTGACGTTTCGCCTGCATCTATGGCAAGCATCCTCAGAGGTAGTGAGGTCTGTTGGAACTAGGGAAAAGGGTTTATATATCTGTGGAATGACCAGGGTGAGACAAAGGACTCTTGTCTGCTGGAGCTAGGTGTGAATGTTTCAACTGACCACCTTGATTAGCATATAATGGCCTGACAGTGCCTAGAGCAAACTTTTGTTGCGAGGTGATTAGATGTCCTTGTTTGTTTCCTCTCTGTTGTTGTGCTGTTGTAATTTTAGAGGGTTTTTTTAATACTGGTAGCCAGATTTTGTTCATTTTCATGGTTTCCTCCTTTCTGTTGAAATTGTCCACATGCTTGTGGATTTCATTGGCTTCTCTGTGTAGTCTGACATGGTGGTTGTGAGAGTGGTCCAGCATTTCTGTGTTCTCAAATAAAATGCTGTGTCCAGGTTGGTTCATCAGGTGCCATCATCCAAGTCTAGACCATGGCCTTATAGCCCGAAAAAACCTACAACAACCCAGTGATTCCGGCCATGAAAGCCTTCGACAATACATTAAGCTCCATCACTCTTGGGCAGAGAAGGCTAAAGACCTTGTAAAAATATAGGGTTTAATATTATCTGCAATTTTAAACAACCACGAGGGCCTTGGAACACATTCCACATGGATGCAGGGGTCATACTACATGTCTAAATACATTATTTTGGGATACTATTCTATCCATAAGACGAAGTAGGATGCAGTCCTTGACAGCTTGTTTGCTGATCTTTAAAATGCCACAGTACTCTTTGCTTTCACATGTTAAAAAACAAAATAGGAAATGCGGACAATTTTGAGCAAATGACCCATGTTTATTTATTCAAAGCAAAGTATACCATCAGCATATTATGGTCACTGATCATTAGCACTAATCCATCAGTTTTAGTATAACCCAGATGGCCCTGGTTCAAATTTCACTTCGTCTGCAAATTTACTAGGAAGCCTAAGGCAAAGCCTGCTAATCTGTCAGCGCTCACCTCTCCACTGAAAAGTGGAACTGATAGTATCTGTCAGGAAGATCGAAAAGATTATGGAGATAATGCATATGAAGGGCTAAACACTCCAAACTGCTATATAGAATGCTACCTGTTAAGACTGTCCACATACGTAGCTATAAACTTAGGTTTGTATCAATAGAGAACAGTTCATCCCTAATGCACTAGGATACTTTTATGCATGTTTGACACTTTGCATTTTAAACATACACTCAAAATATCTTTGAAACCACAAAACTTGATTTTGATTTTTAATTTTTTTGCTATCAACATTCCCCTTAGAATCATAGAATCACAGAGTTGGAAGAGACCTCATGGGCCATCCAGTCCAACCCCCTGCCAAGAAGCAGGAATATTGCATTCAAATCACCCCTGACAGATGGCCATCCAGCCTCTGTTTAAAAGCTTCCAAAGAAGGAGCCTCCACCACACTACGGGGCAGAGAGTTCCACTGCTGAACGGCTCTCACAGTCAGGAAGTTCTTCCTCATGTTCAGATGGAATCTCCTTTCTTGTAGTTTGAAGCCATTGTTCCGCGTCCTAGTCTCCAGGGAAGCAGAAAACAAGCTTGCTCCCTCCTCCCTGTGGCTTCCTCTCACATATTTATACATGGCTATCATATCTCCTCAGCCTTCTCTTCTTCAGGCTAAACATGCCCAGCTCCTTAAGCCGCTCCTCACAGGGCTTGTTCTCCAGACCCTTGATCATTTTAGTCACCCTCCTCTGGACACATTCCAGTTTGTCAATATCTCTCTTGAATTGTGGTGCCCAGAATTGGACACAATATTCCAGGTGTGGTCTAACCAAAGCGGAATAGAGGGGTAGTATTACTTCCCTAGATCTAGACACTATGCTCCTATTGATGCAGGCCAAAATCCCATTGGCTTTTTTTGCTGCAACATCACATTGTTGGCTCATGTTTAACTTGTTGTCCACGAGGACTCCAAGATCTTTTTCACACGTACTGCTCTCGAGCCAGGCATCCCCCATTGTATCTTTGCATTTTGTTTTTCCTGCCAAAGTGGAGTATCTTGCATTTGTCACTGTGAACTTCATTTTGTTAGTTTTGGCCCATCTCTCTAATCTGTCAAGATCGTTTTGAATTCTTGACCGAAGAGGGAGAGATGACCAAAAAAATCAAAACCACCTAAAGTTGCTGTAACACTTTTTTTTGGTCTGTGTATATCAAGATGATCCAATAAAAAAATTTCAAATGCAAAAAAAATATATCTTAGAAATGTAATGAGGGAAGTGACTTTTAGTTGGGATGAGAGATATATTCAAAGCAGATTTAACCAGTTCTTTCTGAACATGAGGAAGAGTTTCCTGACTGTGAGAGCCGCTCAGCAGTGGAACTCTCTGAGTGTGGTGGAGGCTCTTTCTTTGGAAGCTTTTAAACAGAGACTGGATGGCCATCTGTTAGGGGTGCTTTGAATGCAATATTCCTGCTTCTTGGCAGGGGGTTGGACTGGATGGCCCATGAGGTCTCTTCCAACTCTATGATTCTATGATTCTATACTGGGAGGTTCTACAAGGGAGACATAACCTTCCTCACGTTACTTTGATTTTGTACCTGTAGTTATGTGTTCCCAATTTCGTCCCAGTGCCACTGATACTGGATGACATGGTAGAACAGTTCTGTGTAATGGGAGGAATCACCATGCTGGGATTCTTTATATAATCCAAACTGCTGCATGAATCTTTCAGTGTTACAGGAGGAATGGCTTTGACTTGCCCAGCTCCGTTCTCATACAGGAAACTTGTATTTGAAGATCTGCCAGATTTCTCTATATCAGTCTTGGACAATTTCATTCTAAACAGCTTGGAGTCTTTGATCTTGGAATCAACACTCAGGTCCTGTTTCAAAACACAAACGCTATTGTGTGAACCATGAATTGTGTAGGCCAATATTATTTAAAAATCAACATCAGAGAACAGAACCAGGGAAAATATAGAAATGAAAACAAGACTTCTACAACCAAGAGGTTGTACATCCAATTAGAAAACCTATGTAGTTATTCTGCAAAATTGCATGTGGAAAAGTGCAATTGTGCCATCAGCAATATTCTGAAAGCACTACACAAGATTTTAGACAAACAAATTATTGTGGATCACATTAGAGGTTCTCTATTATTTAATTTACTATATTTGTATACTGCTCTTCTCAGCCCTCAGGCGACTCAGGGCGGTTTACAACGGCAATGATTCAATGCCCCAAAACACCCCAAAACAATGGTTCTCAACCGGTGGGTCCCTAGGAGTTTTGGCCTACAACTCTCAGAAATCCCAGCCAGTTTACCAGCTGTTAGGATTTCTGGGAGTTGAAGGCCAAAACATCTAGGGACCCACAGGCTGAGAACCACTGCCCTAAAACATTTAAAAACATTAACACATAATATAAAACCATTGTTAAATTACATTAAACATTAAGTGATAAATGTGCATGGATGAAGTCACTCTCAATGCTGAGACACTTGTGGGTTTTGATCTGGACAGCCTATGAATGGAGATTATTTTTTTACATATTTAACATGACAATAATGATGTCAAACCGATTATCATTCTAAGATATTTTTTGCATGTTCTAGAACAAGTGTCCTCAAACTTTTTAAACAGAGGGCCAGGTCACAGTCCCTCAAACTGTTGGAGGGCCGGATTATAATTTGAAAAAACATGAATGAATTCCTATGAACACAGCACGTATCTTATTTGTAGTGCAAAAAAACACTTTAAAACAATACCATAATTAAAATGAAGAGCAGTTTTAACAAATATAAACTTATTAGTGTTTCAATGGGAAGTGTGGGCCTGCTTTTAGCTGATGAGATAGGATTGTTGTTGTTGTGTGCTTTCACGTTGTTTCAGACTTAGGTTGACCCTGAGCGAGGGCCAGGTAAATGACCTTGGAGGGTTGCATCCGTCCCTTGGGTCTTAGTTTGAGGACCCCTATTCTAGAACCTCAACTCCCAGAAGTCCTACCCTGCCTGGTTCAGAGTCTTGTATATGGAAGTCAATAACTCTGCCCTTCAGAAGTAGAGGTTAGCAAAACATCCTTGCCTCATGCTACACTTGCCGCCACCACATTCCCCTCCCAAAGCTGGAGACTGTTGTGTTCCAGAGATTTTTGGACAAACACAAGTGCAACACAATAGTCCTCTGCACTCTGCTTAATATAATATAATATATATACATATAATATTGATAATGTTAGAATGCAAAACAATATACTACTACTAATAAAATGATATTATAATTAAATATTTTATATTAAATGTAATATTACTAATAATATTACAGTATAATGTTATAGTACAATGTTATATATATATATACATATATATATATATAATATTGTGCTATGATAATAATATAATATATTGTATTTACTTTTTACTTGTAAACTGCTCTGAGTCCCCTTCGGGGTGAGAAGGGGGGCATATAAATGTCGTACATAAATAAATAAATAAAATCTTCTCCAAAAAGGCACCTGTACAAAATGAAAGTCAATAACTCTGCTCCCTGGAAGCGGAGGATTGCAAAGCATTGTCCAAATGGGGAGCTTCCAGGGAGCAGAGTTATCGACTTCCATGCATAGAAATCCCTTTTGGATGTTTCATGAACAATTATTTCAGGGAACTGAGGTGGGCTCTAGGACCCTTTTGGCAACCTCAGCTTCTCCCTTTTCTCTCCCCGAAGCTAGGTTTGACACTTTTCTACCATTCTCAGCTCCCTTCGCAAGAAGCACAACTGAGCAATCCAATGCGAGCTTCCCACACACCTCACAGCCACAATTTATTTATTTATTTGCCATATTTATATGCCACCTTTCTCTACTCCAGCAGAGGGACTCAAGATGGCTTACAATGGCACATACACAGTGCCTCAAAACAACAAATTCATCTTAAAATTACAACATATTTTAAATGGATTGTTGTAGGTTTTTTCGGGCTGTTGTAGGTTATATGACCATGGTCTAGAGGCATTCTCTCCTGACATTTTGCCTGCATCTACGGCAAGCATCCTCAGAGGTAGCGAGGTCTGTTGGAACTAGGAAAAAGGGTTTATATATCTGTGGAATGACCAGGGTGAGACAAAGGACTCTTGTCTGCTGGAGCTAGGTGTGAATGTTTCAACTGACCACAAACTGACAACTGAACGGTTAAAATACATTCAAAGTTTAAAGTTCCTTCCTCAACCACCCAGCCTTTGGGTGAATATGAGTCGTTATGGTTGCTGAAATTACTAAGGTTTTTTGGCATCATTTTCTTTGTTTCATCCTTTACATCAGGGGTCCTCAAACTTTTTAAACAGAGGGCCAGGTCACAGTCCCTCAGACTGTTGGAGGGCCGGATTATAATTTGAAAAAAAAAATATGTGAATGAATTCCTATGCACACTACACATATCTTATGTGTAGTGCAAAAAAACACTTTAAAACAATACAATAATTAAAATGAAGAACAATTTTAACAAATATAAACTTATTAGTATTTCGGTTGGAAGTGTGGGCCTGCTTTTGGCTGATGAGATGGGATGAGCCGTGAGGAAGTGAGAGTGAGGAAGGAGAAACGTCAGGAGAAAATGCCTCTAGAACATGGCCATATAGCCCAAAAAAAAAACCCACAAGAACCTAGAGATGGGATTGTTGTTGTTGTGTGCTTTCAACCTAAGTTTCAGACTTAGGTTGACCCTGAGCGAGGGCCAGGTAAATGACCTTGGAGGGTCGTATCTGGCCCCCAGGCCTTAGTTTGAGGACCCCTGCTTTACATCCTTTTCTAAGTTTTATATTTGATTTAATTTCTTGAAGCAAAAGAAAGACAAAATTATTATCCACTTTTACTTGACATGAAGTTGGACATGAAAGGTCATATCAAAATACAATCTGTTCATCCTCAAGGAGCTGCAGATTTCTAAATAAATTGATATATATATATACACACACACACACACACACACACACACCCATTTGAAATCCTATCCAAGACCACAATTTTATTTCATGGAAATTTCTTGCTAGTGTCTTCAGTAATAAATTAAAAACAACCATATGAGAAAGATCAATACACCCAGGTAGAAAAAGAAAACTTCTAACTGAAGGCATCAAATTTAATCAAATGGCAGAAATAGTCATTTTAATGCAAAGATAACTGGCCTCCGTTAAAAAAAAATAATGGGTAGTTTTGCTCTCATTTTGTTTCACTCTGAAATTGCCAATTGCTGATTCTAAATTTTACTTTGGAAAATAATAGAAGGCATCTCTATAGGTTCTTATATATATTAAATAAATAAATAAACAATGCTACAAACCTGGATTACAAGCATTTTTCTATCTTCACCGGAATCATCTTTATCCTTCCTAATTATTTTTGACTTCTTAGGCAAAGGGTGGTCTCTTTCTTTCTGAATCTTGCCTTTAAGTTCTTGAGCAAATCTTTGCCCCCCACGTTTTGAAAGAATATGTGTACAAAGGAAAATTGCATTAATTCCTCAATAAATCAAAACATGATACAATATGCAGAAAATATCAACTTTTGAATCCCTCCCACCCGGCAAAGACAACATCTATATATTAAAAATGCTCTGTGCATAATGAGTATCTTTAAAACAAAAGAACCAATGAACGAAATCACACCAAATTTGTCAACAAAACGTCTCACAACACAAGGAGTGACCATCACTCAAAAATTATGATTTTGTCATTTGGAAGTTGTAGTTGCTGGGATTTATAGTTCACCTATAATCAAAGAGTATTCTGAACTCCACCAACGATGGAATTGAACCAAACTTGGCATACAGGACTACCCTGACCAACAGAAAACACTAGAAGGGTTTAGTGGGTATTCACCTTGAATTTTGGAGTTGTAGTTCACCTACATCTAGAGAGCACTGTGGACTCAAACAATGATGGATCTGGACCAAACTTGACACGAAAACTCAATATGCCCAAACTCAGATGGAGTTTGGGGGAAATAGACCTTGACATTTGGGAGTTGTATTCACTGGGATTTATAGTTCACCCACAATCTAAGAGCATTCTGAACCCCATCAACAACAGGATTGGGGCAAACTTCCCACACATAACCCTCCATGACCAACAGAAAATACTTAAGGCCATCCAGTCCAACTCCCTTCACCAGGACAAGAAAATGTAATCAAAGCCCTCCTGACAAAGAGCCATCCAGCCATAGATAGATAGATAGATAGATAGATAGATAGATAGATAGATATGATTCACACACATAGAGATATAGTATCATAGATTTGAAAGGGACCCCTAAAGAAGGACAATTATGTGTTGCATGTTCCAGAGTAGGCAAACCAGACAATCTCCACATCAACACTGGCAAAGAAACAGCAAGAAATACTGTTTACCCACAAGCATAAAAACATTGCATATATTAAAAACAAACACTTTCTCATTACTTTATTTTCCAGATCACCAGACTGGGGCACAGCAATGCGTGGCAGGGGACGGCTAGTGTATTATAAAGGGCTCTTCCAGACTAGCTAAGAGTTCCAAGAGAGATAAGTGACAAAGTGGACAAAATCCCTGAGCCAAGAAAATACCCTAGATGAGATTTTCTACACATCCCCTACATATCTAGGCTGCTGCTTCTCAACTTGGCCAAATCACCTGAGAACTAAAGTTCACTTCCCAGTTTCTGGTGTCACTCCCCAACAGAAAACACAACTCAATCTAAAAAGATTCCTCCACAGACTGCAAGTACAGATGCAGGCAAAACCAGGCACCCAGGGTTCAATTCTCCCCTTACAATGAGTACTTCTTGTATATGTTGAGAAGAATCCCTTAGAAACCTAGAAAATCCCTGTAGGTTGTTTTCCATCTAAGATTGTGATTCTCAGCCTTTGGACTTTCAGATAAAACAGGAATAAAAAAAAATAGAAATACTGTTTTAAAGCATTGCTGAACTGAACAAGGAGAGTCGACCCACCTTTCAGCAAAACCGTCTTTGTTAAACAGATCATACTGCAAGAGTTCAGCACAAGATGGCCTTTTGTCTGGATCGGTCTGCAGACACCGCTGAAATGATATTATATTATTAAATGATATTATCATGATAATTCCTTGGTAACTAAATCAGACAAAGTTCCCAAGAACTGAATCTTGTTATCAAACTTGTTATGACTAAGATTAAAGAAACAGCAGAATTAGCTCTGGAAATTCAAGGAGTGTTGAGACTTGGGTTGTTGTAGGTTTTTTCGGGCTATATGGCCATGGTCTAGAGGCATTTTCTCCTGACGTTTTGCCTGCATCTACGGCAAGCAGGTGAAACGTCAGGAGAAAATGCCTCTAGACCATGGCCATATAGCCCGAAAAAACCTACAACAACCCAGTGATTCTGGCCATGAAAGCCTTCGACAATAGTGTTGAGACTTATTTGCAAAGGGTAATTTCCTCTGGATCACACTAAAAAAGATTGTAGCTTACTACAAGATTGTAGCTTACGACATGCTGCTGGAGGGGAGTAATGAAGTGAAATTGCACTGGGCATCTCAAGTCTTGGATGTACCTAACGACACAGTCTTGTCCTAGTGCAAGATCTTGTAAGGATTAAAGTACAACTTGCATCCAGTGTGGCAACCCTGGAATAAGACTGGTTTGTAGAATTGCCAGCAAGAGTTTCTATATGTCGCTAAGACTATAATTTGGAAATATAATTTCGTTTTATCTACAACCCCAGGATTCCACAGCCAAACTTTGGATAAACTATCACTACAGATCAGTTCTATGAGGATCTGCAGGAACTACTGGATAATACACCAAAAAGAGACATTATTTTCATTACAGGAGACTGGAATGCCAAGGTGGGAAGTCAAATGACAACAGGGATCACAGGCAAGCATGGTCTGGGAGAACAAAATGAAGCGGGACGCAGGCTGATAGAATTTTGCCAGGAAAACTCGCTGTGTATAACGAATACTCTCTTCCAACAACCTAAAAGACGGCTCTATACATGGACTTCACCAGATGGTCAACACCGAAATCAGATTGACTACATCCTTTGCAGCCAAAGGTGGCGGACATCCATCCAGTCGGTGAAAACAAGACCTGGGGCTGACTGTAGCTCAGATCACGAACTTCTTATTGCCCAATTTAGAATAAAACTAAAGAGATCAGGGAAAATACACAGACCAGTTAGATATGATCTCACTAACATTCCTAGTGAATATACAGTGGAAGTGAAGAACAGATTTGAAGGACTAGATTTAGTAAACAGAGTCCCAGAAGAACTATGGACAGAAGTCCGCGACATTGTTCAGGAGGCGGCAACAAAGTACGTTCCAAAGAAAAAGAAAACCAAGAAGGCAAAATCGTTGTCTGCTGAGACACTGGAAGTAGCCCAAGAAAGGAGGAAAGCAAAAGGAAACAGTGAAAAGGGGAGATATGCCCAGTTAAATGCGCAATTCCAGAGGTTAGCCAGAAGAGATAAGGAACTATTTTTAAATAAGCAATGCATGGAAGTGGAAGAAGACAACAGAATAGGAAGGACAAGAGACCTCTTCCAGAAAATTAGAAACATTGGAGGTAAATTTCAGGCAAACATTGGTATGATAAGAAACAAAGATGGCAGGGACCTAACAGAAGCTGAAGAGATCAAGAGAAGGTGGCGAGACTATACAGAAGATCTGTATAGGAAGGATAATAATATTGAGGATAGTTATGACAGTGTGGTGAATGAATTAGAACCAGACATCCTGAGGAGTGAGGTTGAATGGGCCTTAAGAAGCATTGCTAACAACAAGGCAGCAGGAGACGACGGGATCCCAGCTGAACTGTTTAAAATCCTAAAAGATGATGCTGTCAAGGTGATGCATGCCATTTGCCAGCAAATATGGAAAACACAAGAATGGCCATCAGACTGGAAAAAATCAACTTATATCCCCATACCAAAAAAGGGAAATGCGAAAGACTGCTCAAACTTCCGTACAGTGGCCCTTATTTCTCATGCCAGTAAGGTAATGCTCAAGATCCCGCAAGGAAGACTCCAGCAATACATGGAGCGAGAGTTGCCAGATGTTCAAGCTGGGTTTAGAAAAGGCAGAGGAACGAGAGACAGATTGCCAATATCCGCTGGATAATGGAGAAAGGCAGGGAGTTTCAGAAAAACATCTACTTCTGCTTCATTGACTATTCTAAAGCCTTTGACTGTGTGGATCATAATAAATTGTGGCAAGTTCTTGGTGGGATGGGCATCCCAAGCCACCTTGTCTCTCTCCTGAGGAATCTATACAAGGACCAAGTAGCAACAGTCAGAACTGACCACGGAACAACAGACTGGTTCAAGATTGGGAAAGACGTACGGCAAGGCTGCATACTCTCACCCAACCTTTTTAACTTGTATGCAGAACACATCATGCGATGTGCAGGGCTTGATGAATGCAAAGCTGGGGTGAAAATTGCTGGAAGAAACATTAACAACCTCAGATATGCAGATGACACCACTCTGATGGCCGAAAGCGAGGAGGAGCTGAGGAGCCTTCTAATCAAGGTGAAAGAAGAAAGCGCAAAAGCTGGGTTGCAGCTAAACGTCAAAAAAACCAAGATTATGGCAACAAGAATGATTGACAACTGGAAAATAGAGGGAGAAACCGTGGAGGCCGAGACAGACTTTGTATTTCTAGGTGCAAAGATTACTGCAAGTGCAGACTGTGGCCAGGAAATCAGAAGACGCTTACTTCTTGGGAGGAGAGCAATGTCCAGTCTCGATAAAATAGTAAAGAGTAGAGACATCAGACTGGCAACAAAGATCCGCCTAGTCAAAGCCATGGTATTCCCTGTAGTTACCTACGGATGTGAGAGCTGGACCTTAGGGAAGGCTGAGCGAAGGAAGATTGATGCTTTTGAGCTGTGGTGTTGGAGGAAAGTGCTGAGAGTGCCTTGGACTGCGAGAAGATCCAACCAGTCCATCCTCCAGGAAATAAAGCCCAACTGCTCACTGGAGGGAAAGATACTAGAGACAAAGTTGAAGTACTTTGGCCACATCATGAGGAGACAGGAAAGCCTAGAGAAGACAATTATGCTGGGGAAAGTGGAAGGCAAAAGGAAGAGGGGCCGACCAAGGGCAAGATGGATGGATGGCATCCTTGAAGTGACTGGACTGACCTTGAGGGAGCTGAGGGTGGTAACGGCCGACAGGGAGCTCTGGCGTGGGCTGGTCCATGAGGTCACGAAGAGCCGGAGACGACTGAACGAATGAACAACAACAACACACATATGGCATAATGTGCAAAGTTTTTACAAGATAAGGGTTTTTGCGTGCTGTAGCACTTTAATTATTTCCCTTTAAAGCAATGTTTATATGTTTTTAATTCCGCTGACAGCATGAAATACTATGTTAAGTCTATCTTTTTCGTAAATTTGGCACCACATGTATTTTTATTTGTAAACAGCCTTAATCTCAGTTCCAAGGGAAAGGTATTTTTTTAAGTAAGGTCCGTTTTGTTGTAGACACTAGTAGTTCGTGTGCATATCACAAAAAGCGTGTGCGTCGTATACCGGCATGCCTCGGGAACAACTTTGCTCAGTTTCCGCTCTGTAGCTAACCTGTACGGTTCTGTTCTGTGCTTTAAAAATGTTTAAGACTACCAACTCACCCACCGCATATGAGGTTCGCTCAGTGATACAGTTTTTGTCAGCAAGGAACCTGCCTGCTGCAGAAATTCATCGACAGATTTGTGAAGTGTACGGTGATACTGTTATGAGTGAAAGCAAAGTGCGTAAGTGGGTATGACAATTCAAAGATGGCCGTGACAACATCCATGATGAGGACCGCTCCGGTCACCCTTCTTTGATTACAGACGATTTGGTGGCTTCAGTTGAAGCGAGGATTCGTGAGAACAGGCGCTTCACAATAACAGGTCTTTCAAATGAATTTCCTGACGTGTCGAGATGGCGGAGAGTGAAACACCCTGATGGCGTTGCTCCGTGGGTTTCTTACTAAGAACTTCTAAAACATTGTTTCTGAACACCTAAAGTTTAGGAAACTGTACTCCCATTGGGTCCCGAAACTCGTAACAGAGGACCACAAAAACCAAAGATTTGAGTGAACTCTTGGTTATCGGAGCAGGCGGCAAGTTTTTATGAAGAGGGTACTTTAAAATTGGTTCAGAGGTATGATAAGTGTTTGAACAAACTTGGCAACTATGTTGAAAAATAGAGTGAAGTATGTACTTTCTGAAAATAAATTTACTTTTTTGAAATAAACTTTCGTTGTGTACTTATGTTCAAACGAACCTTACTTAAAAAATACCCCTCGTATTTATTGTTTTATCGTATCAAGAGCGAACCAAACAGTTGTATTGCATTTTAAAAACAAAAAACTTTTGCAAACTTGGCATTAAAGGGGAAAGGTATGATATAAATAAATGGATGAATGAGTGAATAAGTGTCTAACACTCTAGGAGCCTGGGAATGGAGAGCAGCAACTGAGAAACTATTAGGCAACCAAGGGCAAGCCATGCTGACAGTATTTTTACCAGGCTTGGCTAATTCAAAAGATTCATGCTGCCTGCTAATCTCAGAAGCCACGTCTATTTGCCTTGTTTCCAAAGAGCCCTCAGATACCCAAATCCATGGCAGTCCCACCCTCAGTTTCCAATTAAAACTTCATATATTCCTAGATATATCCCCAATTTTAATTCCCTCAATGTGTTATCCACAATTCTTGAGGAGAAAAGACAAAAACTGGCTAATACGACTGAAGTGGAAAGATGAACTGCTTTGCATGCATTTACCTTAGCAAATTCTATGACTGCAACAGAGAGCTTGGAATACCGTTTTTCAAGAGGTTCAAGATCCTTCACTTCAGGCAATCTCACCCCAGCAAAGAGAGGATTTTTATAGAACAATTCTTGGTGCCTTGGTATTAAGTTACCTGAAATTGATCATTTTTAATACTGTTCAATCTTCAAAACATAAGGAAAAACGCAAAAAAATCCATGACATACACACACACATATGCACCCATTCTCTGAAAATCAAGTGGCATAATTCATGGATATTCTCTCTCTTTTTACATAATTCTGGGAAGTGATAAAGAAGTATAGATTGTGTTAGAGCTCCACTCATGGATACAGACATCAGTTTCCCTAGTTTCTGATATTTTGCCAGGTACAAAGCCTACTTTATTTTACTTGGGTATTTATATTCTGCTTTTCTATGATAAAACCGAAGATGGTGAATTTTTTTTCAAAATGTACAAATTGTTCTAGGAATAAAAACGAGTTGGCAGAACATCATCACACATCATTATAAAACATTTATCTGTATATTTGCATATGTGCACTCAGGTTGCCTATAAATGCCATGAATTTCATAGGATTTTCTAAGGCAAAGAATTCCCAGACTTGCTCTTGCCAGTTCCTTCCTCTGAAATAGTGTCTTCATTGGAACTCATTACCTGGAGAGATCAGGAAAGCCTCTTCACTAGAAACGTTAAAAAAGAACCTTAAAATCTGGCTCTTCCGCTGCACCTTTGGCGAGTAGGTGCACAACATTACTGCACCCCTCAACACTTTTGCCAGTGGAGTACATGCCCTCCAAATAGGAAGTTTAGCTTTACAACTCTGCTTGTTTTTATGAGTTCCCTGCAAATAACCTGCTCCTATTTTTTTTAACTCATTAGATTTTAATCGTTTTATCTTGTACATGTGGCCCGCCCATTGTTATCATGATTGTGTTTATTGGAATGTTATTTTATGACTATGTTATACTTTTTTTCTTTTCTTTTTCTATGTAATTTTGATGTTGTTTATTGTTTATGCTTTGCTTCTATTTTGCTGTAATATGTAAGCCGCTCCGAGTCTTCACTGGGGAGATGGTGGCGGGGTATAAATAAAGATGATGATGATGATTATTATTATTACACTATGTAACACGATTTTTGTTCCTGGTTTATAAATGTCATTTCCTAATTGGTTCTATCATAAAAACATGAGAAAAGTTTATTAAACTGGAAAAAACTTTGTTTTTGCGGGACATCCTGCACACATTTTGCTACAGTTTTTAATGAATATCTCATAGAGTCTCAACCAAGTCAACCTAGCTTGTGGCAGCCACAAAAATGAAGTTTCTGAAGAAAAACAACTACTTTCAAAGTAAGTACCGCATAATTAAACAGGAATAACACTTTCAAACCAGAAACAGAACATTTTTTAAAAGTTGTTACATAGTGTTATTTTTTAAAAAGAAGAACGAAAAATAAGTATCATGGGCAACTAATTATATAGTCAATACCACATCTTTGCAGTCCCACCCAACTGCAGGAAATATGACATCCTGATAAGTAACGAGTCAATAAACCCCATGACTTTAAAACCAGCCACAACAGAAAGTTCTTATTTCCCTTGGAGTGGATACACTACTACTCCAAAATCCAATAGGGTGTTACTTTCAAATATGACTTACGCCACTGTTCATGATACCAATGAACTTCTCCCTAAGGCGTTCACCTTAGCATACCTTATAGTAGGGCCATTTACGTTCTAGATTGCATCCAAGACCAAGGAGACAGCTATGTTGAACACAGTAGTTCATCCAAAATTCTGTTACATGATCCTTTCTCACATTAACCTTAATCTTCCAAAATTCTGCAAACCAAATAAAAAAACAAGTGATGCTCTCTTACCCATACTTTTCATAATATGGTACAACTGGTCAATATCAGAGTCACCAGGGAAAAGGGGTTCTCCTGTAAGCATTTCCGTTACCAGGCAGCCAATAGCCCACACATCTACAGCCCTGGGGAGGAAACAGAAACCAATTATTCAGAGACAGAATATACTAAAATATATCTTCTATGAAATGAGAAGAAAAGCAGGACCTGCCCATGAATTGGACTGAGAACCAAAGAGAAACAAAATAAATAATATGAGGGGTATTTTTTAAGTAAGGTCCGTTTGAATGTAAGTACACAACGAAAATTTATTTCAAAAAAGTAAATTTATTTTCAGAAAGTACATACTTCACTCTATTTTTTGACATAGTTGCCAAGTTTGTTCAAACACTTATCATACCTCTGAACCAATTTTAAAATACCCTCTTCATAAAAACTTGCCGCCTGCTCCGATAACCAAGAGTTCACATAATCAAAGAAATACAATACAACTGTTTGGTTCGCTCTTGATACGATAAACCAATAAATACGAGGGGTATTTTTTAAGTAAGGTTCGTTTGAACATAAGTACACAACGAAAGTTTATTTCAAAAAAGTAAATTTATTTTCAGAAAGTACATATTTCACTCTATTTTTCGACATAGTTATCAAGTTTGTTCAAACACTTATCATACCTCTGAACCAATTTTAAAATACCCTCTTCATAAAAACTTGCCACCTGCTCCGATAACCAAGAGTTCACTCAAATCTTTGGTTTTTGTGGTCCTCTGTTACGAGTTTCGGGACCCAACGGGAACACAGTTTCCTAAACTTTAGGTGTTCAGAAACAATGTTTTAGAAGTTCTTAGTAAGAAACCCACGGAGCAACGCCATCAGGGTGTTTCACTCTCCGCCATCTCGACATGTCAGGAAATTCGTTTGAGAGACCTGTTATTGTGATGCGCCTCTTCTCACGAATCCTCGCTTCAACTGAAGCCACCAAATCGTCTGTAATCAAAGAAGGGCGACCGGAGCGTCCTCATCATGGACGTTGTCACGGCCATCTTTGAATTGTCGTACCCACTTACGCACTTTGCTTTCACTCATAACAGTATCACCGTACACTTCACAAATCTGTCGATGAATTTCTGCAGCAGGCAGGTTCCTTGCTGACAAAACCATATCACTGAGCGAACCTCACATGCGGAGGGTGAGTTGATAGTCTTAAACATTTTTAAAGCACAGAACAGAACCGTACAGGTTAGCTACAGAGCGGAAACTGAGCACAGTTGTTCCCGAGGCATGCCGGTACACGACGCACGCGCTCGTTGCGGTATGCGCACGAACTACTAGAGGAACTCCATGCCTATTAATGGGAAGGTTATTAAGAGCACTGGAAGAGGACTGTTAGAAGAAGATCTGAAAGCACTACTAAGAATATTGGTTAGATTTTATTGATTTTAATGTCATTCCTTTTCTTTCTTTTGTGTTTTTATTTTCCCTTTGTTATACAGGAACATTATTGTATATAATTAAGATCACTTTAAAATACAAATTAATTTAAAAATTAAAAGAAATATAATCATGATTATCTAAGAGACAGCTCAAAGCCATGTTTAGCTATAGTTCCTTACTTGCCATATTTGATATCTCCAACCAATAGCTCGGGAGCTCGATACCACCGTGTTGCTACATAATCTGTGTACGCTTCACCTGGGGCTGCTAGTGTTCGTGCAAAACCAAAGTCACAGAGCTTGATGATTCCCGAATAGGAAACCAATATATTCTCAGGCTTAATGTCTCTGTGTATAATCTAAAAAGAAAGCAAATGGAAGGAAAAAAGAACACGCAATTATATTACAAAATTTGTTTTCAGGGCTTATATATTTTTTGCACTGAAACTGTTCGTGCCTAGAATTCTCATATTGGATGTGTCCTCATTTCACTGGAAACACGGCATTCCTTCTTTTCTTTAGATGCCTACACTCTATTTCTAAATGCTCAACTTAAATCATAAGATACTGTAATTGCATGCAATCAACCTCTCCAAGAGTCGTTTATGCTAAAATACTGGAAATCAAACTGATGAAAGATGAGGACATTTGAAGATGTTGAGGCTAGAAATGAAATGAGCAAAAAGCACATTATCTTCCTTATGTTTTCTGCAAACTTTATGTTGTCAGCAAACATGAGAACTGGCACATCCATGAGGGATGTGAATTCAAGTGGAATTTGAAAACACAGAGAGAAACGAAACTGCTATTCTGGCCAGAGCGAAGACAGAGGGGAGCAGAAGACATTTCCATCTTGTCTTCTGCCTATATCATCAGTTGGGGGGGCCCTCCCCCCTCTGGCACCAACTGCTACTCTGGCCAGAATGAAGACAGAGGGGAGCAGAAAACAGTTCCATCTTGTCTTCTGCCTATATCATCAGTTGGGGGGGGCCCTCCCCCCCGGCACCAACTGCTACTTTGGCCAGAGTGAAGAGAGGGGAGCAGAAGACATTTCCATCTTGTCTTTACTAATAATATAATATAATATAATGTATATACATATAATATTTATAATATTATAATGTAATACAATACAATAATAATACAATATTATAATTATATATTTTATATTGTATGTAATATTACTAATAATATTACAATATAATGGTATAGTACAATATAGTAATATATAATGCTTATATTGCACTATGCTAATAATATAATATATTGTATGTATATATATCTGTAAGCCGCTCTGAGTCCCCTTTGGGGTGAGAAGGGCGGCATATAAATGCCATAAATAAATAAATAACTGCAATAGAGTTTAAACTCTCACAATTAGTTTTGAATTAAACTAGTACTGTTTTTAGTATGAAAACATACATCACTCTGAATTCAAGTTTTTACAAAGCCTTATCAACTTTGTGTGATTTCCATCATTTGAAACATCACAGCTCTGCACTCTGAATTACCCCACTGATGCTTAGAGGTACAATAACCTTCACGACAGTTCTAGAATTGAGACCATCAGTCTGTGTTTCTAGCCTTTATTGTTATAGTAGAAATGCTGAATGAGTCCCAAATTTGGGAATTTTTCAAAAAAAAATATTTCCAATATATATAGTGTCAGGTTTTACAATGTATTGTAATGTAATATAGCTGAGTCATGCACTGCTAATGGGTTTCCATTGGAAATGCTGAGTCATGCATTAACTGTATAAGGGAATCATTTGGGGAATGTGTTCTGGCCTATTCCAGGTGATTGTGAATGATGTAATCCTGAGTCTGAGTTAAGTCAATGAGTTGGGAACCAATCAGTGATTGCTATGTGTAATTGTATAGAATTGTATATAAGGAAGTCATGTACAGTGTATATTTCTCCTTGTGCTGTGATGTTGTTCGTCGAAGGCTATATGTAATTAAAAGAACCTGTCTGCTAAGACAAGATATAACTGTATGCTGTGGTAAGTTTGTAATATCATCTAGACTGGGGGAAAGACAATGGTAAAACTGACAATGGCCGGGCATGTGCTCAAGTGTCTGTAAAAGGTTCCAGAGTGACTGCAGGCTGTGGGAGCAGTTGACTGAAAATACTGTGCAGGAAGAAGCTACTGGAAAGCGCTGAAGTTGTGCAACTGATCTGCTGCTGAATTGTGAAGTTAATCTCAACATATAGTGTGGTGCATCTATCAAATATTCATCTGGTGTCAAAGCAAGATCCTTAGAGTCATAAAGCTTCTAGTTCTAACCTGTCTGAGGTCAATTTACAAAATCAATACATGGAATGTATTTAATCAAGAATAAATAACATGCTAGTGTGGGTAATTAGATGGACAATGAAGTTTACTTACATTGTGACTATGACAAAATCCTATCCCCTTTATAATTTGAAATAAGTATTTTCGAACTCTATTATAATCCAGGCCATTTGGAAACATCTCAAGATCATCAAGGACTGTGTGGTCCACAAATTCAAACACTAGGTACCATCTTTTTTTCTTCTTGCAAACTTCCAGCAGGTTCACCAGGTTTTCATGCCTTAATTGCTATCGGGAGACAGAAAATGCGTCACAAAACTACATCAAAGTCTGAAAACATTCACCACAGCTGTCCCTTGATATTTGAATTCTCTTAGGAAGCAAGACTCACAGTATTCAAAAGGTCTACAATCGTACTATATTTAATGGATCTACTATTGTATTCAATGAGGATTATAGCCTTGGTCTACATCTCCTGCTGCTGTCAGCTACTGTGCTATCTAGATTAGATTTTGGCTTTGAGACTCAGACTCCCAGTTTGTGACTACACTCCCTTGAACCTAGATTTCTTAAATGTCACAAGACTGACTCTCCCACATGTTGTTGGACTCCAGTCTCCATCATGTCATACCATGAGACATACTGGCTAACTCTGATGGACACTGCAGTTGAACAACTGAAAGCCCACCATTCCCCACACATCCTTGTGCTCCTAATTTGAACACACTGTTGTACAATGAATTTTGTGCCAAAAGTTATATTTTAACTGACTCATTCCTGCTTGAAATTCTGTTTCAAGTCACCTGCAATAAACCCAATCCTCTTCTTTTCCCAAAGTCGTGCTCTTTGATATGTCTGTCAGACATGCTTGGAGAAGCAGAGGGCTATTTTCCAGTCATGAACCAGCAAGACCACTGTACTGAGATTTTCTAGAAAAAGAAGTGGTGTTGCAGTCACTTCTTGTTAGTTTGGAGGACATTTTTTGACTGTTTTGGGATACCACCATTCCAAACTGCATTACACAGAAAAAGGGTGAGCAAATGTAGCTGTATTGTTCACAGTCCTTCCCTCAATAGTTGTTGTACAGGGTGCTGCAGCATAACTTCCTTTATTAAAATGTGCACAGTTCAGTCGGTTGAAGATGTAGTGGAGCGCTAGTGGTCTCATTCAAGAGGCATGAGTATAAGGTTTTGTCCTGACACAGTTCGGTTGCCATCATGCGTTGGAACAGTGAGGAGCGTGCTTTTGCCGTTGAGGCCTACTTTTCGAGCGGATGTTCTGTGATCACAACTCAGTACGCCTTTCGGAATCGCTTTAATTTAGCCCCATTGGCCCCTGTCCTGGACCGGAAATCAATTGTGACGTGGGTCACTACATTCAGACAAACTGCAAGTGTAACAAGACGAAGAACTGGAGTCCCTCGGCCCATTCGATCACCTGAGAACATTGAGGCAATGTTGCGATCACCACAGCGTTCTGCGCGCAAACATGCATCTGCCCTTGGACTTTCCGATTGTTCTGTGAGGAGAATTCTTCATGATGATTTTCATTTCCATCCTTTCAAGATGGTGATTGTGCAGGAACTTTCTGAACGTGACTTCAATTCTCGGAGGAACGCATGTGAGGTTCTTCTCGAAGTTGTTCCTGAGGACGCTATTGTTTTTTTAGTGATGAAGCCCATTTTCATTTGTGTGGATCCGTCAACAAACAAAATATGCACTACTGGGCTGACAACAATCCTCGAGAATTGCATCAAAGGCCTTTGCATTCACCTAAAATCACGGTGTGGTGTGCAATTTCCTCAGCTGAACAATTCAGAAATGAACAATTCAGAAATGGTTCCGGTCCAACTTACCTATCCAAACGTATCTCTCCTTATGAACCTTCTAGGAAGCTAAGATCTCCTTATGAACCTTCTAGGAAGCTCTCGTTCCCACCTTCCTAACAGATGCATCTGGTGGGGATGAGAGACAGGGCCTTCTCAGCGGTGGCCCCTCGACTGCAGAATGCCCTGTCTAGAGAGATATGATCACCCCCTCCCTCCTGACCTTTCGAAGAAAGGTGAAAACCTGGCTTTTCCAGCAGGCCTTCCCAAATATGGCATAGATATACAATATTATGGACCACTGACGACGCAACTGGACAATGATTTGATATGGAGAAGCTTTGATAATGTTTTAATGCTTTGTATGGTTTTTACATTTTTATACTGCTGTTATTGTTTTAATAGTATTTATGTTTGTTTTAATTGTTGTAACTGTTCTGGCATCAAATTGTTGCCTGTTGTTAACCGCTCCAAGTTACCCTTGGGCTGAGAGGGGCGGTATATAAGTGTAGTAAATAAATAAATAAATAAACTTCTATGAATGACCCTTCCTCAAAAACATGCATGTCTACAGTATATTATAATGACAGATAAAAAAAACAGAACTACCATTCATCTGTCATTATAATATAACTGATAACACTATGTAACAAAATTTGAAAAAAAAAATCTGTTCCTGGTTTGAAAGTGTTGTTTTCTGTTTAATTGTGCGGTACTTATTTTGAAAGTAGTTGTTATACTCCAGAAACTTCATTTCTGTGGCTGACACAAACTAGGTTGACTTGGTTGAGACTCTATGAGATGTTCATTGAAAAACTACAGCAAAATGTGCTGCAGGATGTCCCATATAAACAAAGTTTTCGCAGTTTGATAAACTTTCCCCATGTTTTTAATGATAGCACCAATTAGGAAATGACATTTATTACCTAAGAGCAAAACTCGTGTTATATAGTGTAATTGTTCCAGTCAAAACTACCTTAGGGGCTCTTATATGATAGCAGCTATCATTATTAACAGCCACAACAAAACTACTGCCACACAAACCAGAAAGAAGTCCAACCATGGCCTCACCTTGAGAAGCTTAATTTCCCTCATGGCAATTTTTTTAACCATCTTATCATCCTCGCTTTCCAAAAATTTCTTGATGGCAACCACTCTGCCATTCTCCTTGTTCCTGCATTTCATCACCATTCCATAGCTTCCTTCTCCCACAAGACCAAGGATCTCATACTTTTCCATTTGAATATGAAGAGACTGGGTCCTAGGCTGTAAGATAAAAACCAGGGTGTGTAAGTGTAGCCATTTATATGATGAAGGCATTTGTTATCAGGTTAGCAACACATACATCCAAATACTCTTTGATCCGTTCTTTTTAAATGAGATCCTACAGTTTATTGCTAAGGGCAAAGACAGGATGTAACATTACAAAGGAGTCCTTACGGCACTTTTCTACCAGTAACGTAAACTGGGCCTGACATCTTGCCTTGCACACTTATAAAGTACTCCAAAAATCAAGAAATCAGAAATATACTGCCACTGAATGAACAGAAATATCTGTATCACAAGGAGTTAAAGACTTGCCTTCTTCAAAATAGCACCAGATTACAATACTCGAATATAAGGCGAGCCGAATATAAGCCGAGACACCTAATTTTACCATAAAAAAGCTGGGAAAACGTATTGACTCGAGTATAAGCCGAGGGTAGGAAATGCAGCAGCTACTGGTCAATTTCAAAATATACATAGATACCAATACAATTACTTTAATTTAGGAATCAGTAATTAAATGCTTTTGAATATTTATATAGAATTGTAATATAAGATAAAAGTCCAAATCTGATTAAACCATTATTCTCACCTTCTTCAATGTAAATGTGCTTATGTATCCTTTCAATCTATATAAATAAAAATGTAATGTTCATTTGTGGGATTAACAGAACTCAAAAACGTCCAAATTTGAATACTGGTGGGGCTGGAGGGGATTGATTTTGTCATTTGGGAATGTTGGAGTTGCTGGGATTTATAGTTCACCTAAAATCAAAGAGCCTTTTGAACTCCACCAATGATGGAATTGAATCAAACTTGGCACACAGAATTCCCATGGCCAAGATAAATACTGGGAGAGTCTGGTGGACACTGACCTTGAGTTTTTGGAGTTGTAGTTCACCTACATCCAGAGAACACTGTGGACTCAAACAGTGATGGATCTGGATCAAACTTGGCACAGATAATCAATATGCCCAAATGCGAACACTGATAGAGTTTGGGGAAAATAGACATTGCCATTTGGGAGTTGTAGTTGTTGGGATTCATAGTTCACCCACAATGAAATAGCATTCTGAACCCCACCAATGATAGAATTGGACCAAACTTCCCACACAGAACACTCATGACAAAAAGAAAATACTATGTTTTCTGATGGTCTTGTTGATCCCTCTGACACCCCCTCGTGACCCCCACAGGGGTCCCGACCCCCAGGTTGAGAAACACTGTTCTAATTCAAATGTGTCTTTTCTCTTTGTAGTTTATTTATACAAAAATTCAAATACATTTGGTGGTGCTTACTTAGATTGGAGAAAAATTAAAAATACCTACTGTCTTTGAGTGGATTTAATCCAAAGTTAGACCTGCTTACAGCTTACAGCAAACTGAGTGAAATCTGTGGGACCCAGCTTAATAAATAGAGTCCTCGGTGGCGCAGTGGGTTAAACCCCTGTGCCGGCAGGACTGAAGACCGACAGGTCACAGGTTTGAATCCAGGGAGAGGCAGATGAGCTCCCTCTACCAGCTCCAGCTCCTCATGTGGGGACATGAGAGAAGCCTCCCACAAGGATGATAAAAAGATCAAAAAATCATCCGGGCGTCCCCTGGGCAACGTCCTTGCAGACAGCCAATTCTCTCACACCAGAAGCGACTTGCGGTTTCTCAAGTCTCTCCTGACACAACAAAAAGAAAAGCTTAATAAATTAAGTGCATCTTTTCTATGCATTAGGCAGTATTTCACATCAGCACAATCTATTGATATTTTGAAAGCGTTGCTATTTTAATTCTAACATCAGTGTATATTGTATTAGCAGATAGCGGACTAGAAAAGTGTGCTTCGTACTTACGATGAAGAGAGTAATGCAGGAAGTAAATCTGAGGAAAAGCTTAAAACTAAATAGGAATGTGGTTGCATCTCAGATCTCTTTTACCACTCATATTCTATGATGCAGACGACTCATTATCTCCTTGCAGCAGATGATCTGAAAACCTTTACTTTAAAAACAAAATAAAACACAAAAATATTTATTCCTATTTTCACTTCACCCAATGCCTTCAGTAGCTTAAAGCAAATATAAAACCAATAATTATAAATACAATTATAAATATAATATAATAAATATAAAACCAATAATTATGAATCACCATTTTGTAACAACATGAAACTATTAAAATGACAAAATAATGCAACCAAATATTTTTTTTAATACCTGGTAGAATTGTTTCTTTTTAAACATAAAAACGACTGGATGAATTGACACCAAATTTGGACACAAGACACCTAACAACCCAATATATGTCCTTCACTCAAAAAAATTGATTTTGTCATTTGAGAGATGTAGTTGCTGGGATTTATAGTTCACCTACAATCAAAGAACATTCTGAACCCCACCAACGATGGAATTGAACCAAACTTAGCACACAGTTCTCCCATCACCAACAGAAAATACTGGAAGGGTTTGGTGGGCATTGACCTTGAGTTTGGAAGTTGTAGTTCATCTACATCCAGAGATCACAGTGGATTCAAACAATAATGGATCTGGACCAAACTCTACAAGAATACTCAATATGTCCAAATGTGAACACTGGTGGAGTTTGGGGAAAATAGAACCTTGACATTTGGGAGTTGTAGTTGCTGGAATTTATAGTTCACCTACAATCACAGAGCATTCTGAACCCCACCAGTGATAGAATTGGGCCAAACTTCCCATACAGAACCCCCATGTGGGCCACAGCAACGCGTGGCAGGGGACGGCTAGTATGCAATAAATTATTCTATCCTGTTCTATCTGTTTTGTCGCCGAACCACTCATTTGGGCTTCACACAAATCTACCATTTGCCAAAATATACAATCCTGTGCTTTTCTTTTCCATTTTTGGCCAAATAGCTTCACAATTGGTTTGTCCCATCGAGTACGACGTCTGCCCAAGATCCGCTTGTGGTCTCTTGGTATTCAGTTCATTAGTCGAAATGTCCATCAGTTGTCTTTTGTTCATGCTATATGCCCTGCCCATCTTTTTTTTTTTTTTGCCTCATAGATCATATATTTTCAAATATTTTCAAATATATAAATGAAAGATTTTCATGAGATATGTTTTGTCCCTATTACTGACAAAATTTGTCGTCAGTTAGACCGAGGCGGATCAGCGCTATTGGTACTCTTGGACCTCACAGCTGCATTCGACACCGTGGACCATGACTTGCTGATTCATCGATTGGCTATGTCTGGTGTACGAGGTTTAGCCCTTAAATGGTTCAATTCGTTCCTCCGGGACCGGAGACAGAGGGTGGAGTGGTCAGGCCAAAGCTCTGAGAGCTCCTGCCTTTGCTGTGGAGTTCCCCAGGGTGCTATCCTCTCCCCCTGTTATTTAACATCTACGTCCGGCCACTTGCTGGACTGGTGCGGAGCTTTGGCATAGAGTGCTACCAGTATGCAGATGATACCCAGCTACTCTTGCGTCTCGAACCTGGGACAACCGCGATTCCTGAGAACTTTAGGCTGTGTTTGGAAGCAGTGATGAGTTGGCTGCGAGCGAGCAGACTAAAAGTGAATCCTACAAAAACTGAGATACTCTGGCCCGGCCAGCCGCCAGAATTAATCCAGTCTCTGCCTGATTTCGATGGGGAAGCTCTGGTTCCGTCTGCCACTGTTAAAAGCCTTGGGGTTGTGTTGGACTCATCGCTGACGATGGAGGCCCAGATCACTGCCATAAGTAAGCAGGCCTTTTTTCATCTTCGCCAGGCAAGGAAATTGGCATCCTACCTTTCGGTAGAAGCATTGGCAACGGTAATCCACGCAACAGTCACCACAAGGTTGGACTATTGCAACGCCTTATATGCCGGCCTTCCGAAGTCAACAACCCAGAAGATTCGGATGGTCCAAAATGCAGCGGCCAGGCTGCTAGCGGGATCATCTATAAGATCCCATATTACACCGATTCTGCAACAACTGCATTGGCTACCAATAGAACATCGGATCTCTTACAAGATACTGATCCTGACATTTAGAGCTCAAAATGGCCAAGGGACTTTATATCTTAGGGACTGCCTCATTCCTTTTTTCCATCAGTAGTCACCTCGATCCACCCAGGAAAATCTCCTATACATACCCGCCCTAGGGAGGTACACCTGAAAGCTACAAGGCGTAGAGCTTTTTCGATCTATGCTCCAATTCAGTGGAACTCATTGCCTCCATACATACTTCACTTCACTTCACTTTATTTCTTAATTAGTCGCTCTCCACCAAGGTGCTCTGAGCAACTTACAATTTAAATACATGACCCCAAATATATCTATATATATATAAATGCTCTGTGCATAATGAGTACCTTAAAAACAAAAGAACCAATGAACGAAATCACAACAAATTTGGCAACAAAACGTCTCACAACACAAGGAGTGACCATCACTCAAAAAATTATGATTTTGTCATTTGGGAGTTGTAGTTGCTGGGATTTATAGTTCACCTACAATCAAAGAGCATTCTGAACTCCACCAACGAAGGAATTGAACCAAACTTGGCACACAGTTCTCTCCTGGAAGGCTTTGGTGGGCAGTGTTCTTTGGTTTTGGAGTTGTAGTTTAACTACATCCAGAGATCACTGTGGACTCAAACAATGATGGATCTGGACCAAACTCAACACGAATACTCAATATGCCCAAATGTGAACACTGGTGGAGTTTGGGGAAAATAGAATCTTGACATTTGGGAGTTGTAGTTGCTGGGATTTATAGTTCACCTACAATCACAGAGCATTCTGAACCCCACCAACGATAGAATTGGGCCAAACCTCCCACACAGAACCCCCATGTGGGCCACAGCAACGTGTGGCAGGGGACGGCTAGTTCATCATAAAAACATTCAACAGTGACTATTTGGCAAATTAGATCTGATTACTTAAATGCACAACCAAACAGCCAAGTCTTGAGTGCAATGTCGGAGTTGAGACCTTTTGTAAAGGCACTCAAGACTTGGCTGTTTTGTTGTGCATTTAAGTAATCAGATCTAATTTGCCAAATAGTCACTGTTGAATATTTTTATGTTGAATGTTTTTATATTGTGTAAATGCTATTTTAGATTGTAAGTCGCTCGGAGCCCCTTGGCGGAGAGCGATTAATTAAGAAATAAAGTGAAGTGAAGTGAAATTGCTGTCACCATGTAGTTAAAAAGTCTCAGTAATTTTTGGCAATACTGCATTTAATAATAATAATATTAATAATATTAATAATAATAAACCTTATTTATATTTATTTATTTATTTGACTTGTATACCGCCACTCCCAATTTGGCTCGGAGCGGTTTACAGAGGTAGATTAAAACAATACAACCAACTTTAAAATACAATAAAAATGCGAAACAGACATAGTCCCGAGTTATTCACCCAAATAACTTTTCCGAAAGCTTGTCAGAAAAGAAAGTCTTTACAGGCTTTCCGAAAAGCAAGTAGCTCTCGGATGGTTCGGGTTTCAACTGGCAAGGCATTCCATAAATAAGGGGCCACAATCGAGAAGGCTCTCTGCCTAGTAGAGGACAGATGATAAGTCCAGATGTTGGGGACTTCAAGCAAATTTTGGTCCTCGGACCGAAGTAATCTCTGGGGTTGGTAGGGGGATAAGCGGGCCCTCAGGTACGCTGGCCCCAGACCATATAAGGCCTTAAAGGTTAATACCAGCACCTTGAAAGTAATCCGGTACTCAATTGGTAGCCAGTGCAGCTGTTGTAGAATTGGGGTGATACGACACCTCGCCGGCACCCCGGCGAGAAGACGAGCCGCCGCATTTTGCACCAGCTTCAGTTTCCGGATCACTGACAAAGGAAGGCCAATGTAGAGGGCGTTACAGTAGTCAAGCCTCGAGATGACCGTCGCCTGGATCACCGTAGCCAGGTCGTTCCTAGATAGGAAGGGAGCCAGTCGCCTAGCCTGACGTAGATGGAAAAACGCAGATCTGCTCACAGCAGAGACCTGGGCCTCCATTGTGAGCAGCGGGTCCAATAAGACAGCAAGGCTTTTTACAGAAGGTGACGGACGTAGTGTCTCGCCATCCAGGGTAGGCAGCTGGATCCCCCTCCCACCTGGACAGCCCAGCCAAAGGATCTCCGTCTTCGCTGGGTTCACCCTCAACCTGCTGGCATGCAACCATCCAGTAACGGCCTCAAGGCACTGATGGAAATTTTCGGGTACAGAGTCCGGCCGGTCCTCCATCCTCAGAATGAGCTGAGTGTCATCAGTGTATACCGCTCTATCTCCCCAAAGAGGACTCAGTGCGGTTTCCAAATAAAATCACCAAAACATACAGAGTAAACAGCATGATATAAAATTAACAAAACAACATAAACATAAAAATTATCACAATTTTTTTTTTTTTGGTCGTGTCAGGAATGACTCCTGGTGTGAGAGAATTGGCCGTCTGCAAGGACGTTGCCCAGGGGACGCCTGGATGATGTGATGTTTTTATCATCCTTGTGGGAGGCTTCTCTCATGTCCCCGCATGAGGAGCTGGAGCTGATAGAGGGAGCTCATCCGCCTCTCCCCGGATTCGAACCTGCGACATGTCGGTCTTCAGTCCTGCCGGCACAGGGGTTTAACCCACTGCGCCACCGGGGGCTCCAATTATCACAATAACACATACATATTAAAATATTGATTAAGACCATTAATACCAATTATTTTGGAAATGCACACCTCCCAATGGCTGCCTTGCCCTGACTGTAACTCAGAGCCCTGGATTAAATAGATATAAAGTGTAAGGCCAGATTTTTATTCTATGTTTGTGAGTACAGAATGAGTCACACAGACCTTCTACACTGCCATATAATCCAGTTCAAAGCAGGTGCCTGTTCTTCCTCTGAGGGAAGAGGCCTTCCATGCCTCCCTAAATAATCCTTACCACAGAAGGTACAGAAGGGGGAAGACCCCCTTCTGTCCCCTCAACTGGAGAAGGTTCTGCTCAGGTGAAGGCCTCAAAGGCCTGGAAGCCACTCACCTGTCCGCGCGCCGCCTCCTTCTCCTCCTTTCCTGGCTCCGCCTCCTCAAGCGCCTCCCTTGCAAGGTGCAAACCCAGGCTGAAGGGGATGGAACGGCAGGTCCCGGGCGGTTGCCAGGGCAACGGGAGGCTCGCCTGCCTGACGCTCGCGCCGCAAACGCCAAGGCGTTTGCGGCGCGTGCGTCAGGCAGGCGAGCCTCCCGTTGCCCTGGCAACCGCCCGGGCCCTACCGTTCCATCCCCTTCCACCAGGAGGCAACGAGGATGCAAAGGAAGATGAGGATGGTAAAGAATGGCGGGCTTTCCAAATGTGCAAGTTTCCATTCGCTTTGCCCTTTACAAATGCCTGCTAGCCTTGCATTTAAGAAATGCGAATGCTCCTGCAAGATCCCAAAGCAGTTATTTGTCTGTATGTATTTACTACATTTATACCCGGAAGGTGAGACGTGGAAATATATTACAATGCTTTCACCTGCAAAATATATATTTTTTTAAAGGGAGGGGTTGTTTCCAGAATTTTGGGTGGAGATGTGAAACCACAAATAATTGTGAACCCTATTCACACCTGGAATATTGTGTCCAATTCTGGGCACCACAATTCAAGAGATGTTGACAAGCTGGAATGTGTCCAGAGGAGGGCGACTAAAATGATCAAGGGTCTGGAGAACAAGCCCTATGAGGAGCGGCTTAAGGAGTTGGGCATGTTTAGCCTGAAGAAGAGAAGGCTGAGAGGAGATATGATAGCCATGTATAAATATGTGAGAGGAAGCCACAGGGAGGAGGGAGCAAGCTTGTTTTCTGCTTCCCTGGAGACTAGGACGCAGACAATGGCTTCAAACTACAAGAGAGGAGATTCCATCTGAACATGAGGAAGAACTTCCTGACTGTGAGAGCCGTTCAGCAGTGGAACTCTCTGCCCCGGAGTGTGGTGGAGGCTCCTTCTTTGGAAGCTTTTAAACAGAGGCTGGATGGACATCTGTCAGGGGTGATTTGAATGCAATATTCCTGCTTCTTGGCAGGGGGTTGGACTGGATGGCCCATGAGGTCTCTTCCAACTATGATTCTATGATCCTTGTTTTATTTCTACAGTGTGAAACTTGTACTACCTATGTTCTAACAGCTGGCATCAACTGCAACTCACAACATTCTTCATCACTGACTATTACTGAAAATACAAGTTGGACAACATCTAGAGCAGGAGTGTCAAACTCATTTTCATCAAGGGCCACATAAGCTTTATGGTTGCCTTCAAGGGGCCATTTGTAATTGTAAGACTTTATAAATGTATGTTTCCCTGGTATTGGAAGCCTCCAGGGAAGCAGAAAACAAGTTCACTCCCTCCTCCCTGTGGCTTCCTCTCACATATTTATACATGGCTATCATATCTCCTCTCAGCCTTCTCTTCTTCAGGCTGAACATGCCCAGCTCCTTAAGCCGTTCCTCATAGGGCTTGTTCTCCAGACCCTTGATCATTTTAGTTGCCCTCCTCTGGACACATTCCAGCTTGTCAACATCGCCCTTCAATTGTGGTGCTCAGAATTGGATGTGGTCTAACCAAGGCAGAATAGAGAGGTAGCATGAATTCCCTGGATATAGATACTATACTCCTATTTATGCAGGCCAAAATCCCATTGGTTTTTTTAACTGCAGCATCACATTGTTCGCTCATGTTTAACTTGTTGTCCACAAGGACTCCAAGATCTTTTTCTCGAGCCAGGAGTCTCCCATTCTGCATCTTTGCATTTTCCTGTCCGAAGGAATTTCTACTCAGACACGTATGGTTTGCTTAATTCAATTTAGCAACTGTAATGTATTTATGTAGCTATTTCCATTACAACATAAATCCTTTTGGAAACATCTGGCCCTTGCATAATATTTATGTACTACATGCTTTCGTTCCCTGAATTACCTTGTTGAATTCAACTGTACAAGTCTGGTGTTTGCATTTAAAAGTGATAAAACCAAAGCATTATGAACTCACATTACTGAGTTAGACCAGCAGTGCATCTGTCAGGTTTTACAATGTATTGCAATGTAATATAGTTGAGTCTTGCACTGCTAATGGGCTTCTATTGGAAATGCTGAGTCATGCATTAACTGTATATAGAACTTCATTTGGGGAATGTGTTCTGGCCTAGTCCAGGTGATTGTGAATGATGTAATCCTGGGTCTGAGTTAAGTTAATGAGTTGGGAACCAATCAGATTGCTATGTGTAAATGAATTGTATATAAGGAAGTCATGTACAGTGTATATTTCTCCTTGTGCTGTGATGTTGTTCGTCGAAGGCTATATGTAATTAAAAGAACCTGTCTGCTAAGACAAGATATAACTGTATGCTGTGGTAAGTTTGTAATATCATCTAGACTGGGGGAAAGACAATGGTAAAACTGACAATGGCCGGGCATGTGCTCAAGTGTCTGTAAAAGGTTCCAGAGTGACTGCAGGCTGTGGGAGCAGTTGACTGAAAATACTGTGCAGGAAGAAGCTACTGGAAAGTGCTGAAGTTGTGCAACTGATCTGCTGCTGAATTGTGAAGTTAATCTCAACAGCATCTAGCTCAGTACTGTCAACATCACCCCGTCACCAAACCTAGTGCTCTCTTGATGTTTTGGACTAGAACTTCCATCAGTAACTCGTTGTTGTCCACGAGGACCCCAAGATCTTTTTCACACGTACTGCTCTCAAGCCAGGCATTGTCCCCCATTCTGTATACTTGTATTTCATTTTTTTCTGCCTAAGTGGAGTATCTTGCATTTGTCCCTGTTAAAATTCATTTTGTTAGTTTGGGCCCATCTCTCTAATTTGTCAAGATCGTTTTGAATCCTGCTCCTGTCCTCTGGAGTATTGGCTATCCCTCCCAGCACCTCAATCTCCAGGTGCTGTCAACTCCCATTAACTTTCCCCACTGGAGCCAAGGGTGAGATGTTTTGTAAAATTAAACATTTAAAAGGATATTTGCAATCCACACATTTGCAAATCCATCACTCTTGTGCAAACTTATGGCTACTGCTGTTTTGTGAGGTGACGATCCTTTGTCAATTGTTACACCCTAGCTAGTTAACATTACCACTTCTCAATGAACTTCTAAAAGCAATTTGGAGGGATGAAGTCTTGATTTTGTCAGGTGGGAAAACACAAACCTAAAATACATCTACAGCAAGTAATCTTGGAGGACCAAATGTTCTATAGTAAATTAAATAGTTAATTACAGCCTCCCAGTGCATGGTTGTGACAGATTTTACACGCAGTGCATGTAATTAATTGTTCAATGTGCAAGATACTAACTCAAAGACGGAGATCCTATGGCTGGGTCAACCGGGCAGTGGGGACATCCAGCTTCCTACCCTGGATGGCAAGGCACTACGCCCGTCATCATTGGTAAAGAGTCTGGGAGTCCTTTTGGACCCTCTGCTGACGATGGAGGCCCAGGTCTCCGCCGTTAGCAGAACCGCCTTTTTTCATCTGCGGGCTAGACGGCTGGCCCCCTACCTGTCCAGGGACGACCTAGCTACGGTGATCCAGGCTACGGTCATCTCAAGACTGGACTACTGTAACGCCCTCTACATTGGCCTTCCTCTGTCGGTGATCCGGAAGCTCAAGTTGGTACAAAATGCAGCTGCTCGGCTTCTTGCAGGAATATCCGATGAGATGCCCACATAACCCCCAATCTCTTACTAACAGACTGCATACTTACCGTTACCAATTGCAACAGCACGCGGAACGATCACTTTTCCACAAGTGAGGTACTTACCTTTAAGCTCTGACATGCGCTCTGAGGGTCGCATTAGTACTCCGAAGAGGGGACCCCTCAACACCTCTAAACCAGAGATCCCTCCGTTCTGAGGACCAAGATCTATTGGAAATTCCCAGTGTCAAGACCTTGTGTCTAACAGCAACCAGACGCAGAGCCTTTACAGCAGTAGCACCATCACTCTGGAATACTCTGCCACCTGAAGTCCGTGCCTTGCGGGACTTATCAGCTTTTCGTAGGGCATGTAAGACATCTGTTTCGACAGGCTTTTGGCTTTTAATATTGCTGTTTTTAAATTGTTATAAAATTGTGTTAGATTTTATCCTGTTTTTGTAAACTGCTCCGAGCCCCAAGGGAGTGGTGGCATATAAGTTCGAATGAATGAATGAATGAATGAATGAATAAATAAATAAATAAATAAATAAAATATTCAGAGAAATGCCTGAGACAAACCATTATGCAGGACAAACCATTTTTCCATCTCATTTTAAATAACTTTAAAAAGGTTTTGGGGCTCCCAAATTGAACATTATAAATCTACTAGAATAACTGCAATCTACAGATTTCCTCTGTATGCAGATGATGTTCAGCTCTATCACTCCTTCCCACCTGTTACTAAGGAGGCTGTGCAGGTCCTGAACCGGTGCTTGGCTGCTGTGTCAGTCTGAATGAGGGCGAACAGATTGAAACTCATTCCAGACAAGACAGAGGTACTCCTGGTCAGTCGCAAGGCCGAACAGGGCATAGGGTTACAGCCTGTGTTAGACGGGGTTACACACTCCCCCTGAAGACACAGGTTCGCAGTTTGGGAGTGATCCTGGACTCATTGCTGAGCCTGGAACCCCAGGTCTCGACGGTGGCCGGGAGAGCTTTTGCACAATTAACGCTTGTGCGCCAGCTGCGCCTATTCCTTGGGAAGTCTGACTTGGCCACAGTGGTCCACCCTCTGGTTACATCCCGAATAGACTACTGCAACGCTCTCTATGTGGGGCTGCCTTTGAAAGCTTCTTGGAAGCTCCAATTAGTCCAGCGGTTGGTGGCCAGGTTGTTAACTGGATTTGCGTACAGGGAGCGTACCACTCCTCTGTTGCACCAGCTCCACTGGCTGCCAATTAGCTTCCGGGCACAATTTATTTATTTATTATTCGAACTTATATGCCGCCACTCCCCTGGGGCTTGGAGCGGCTTACAAGAATGACTAAAATCTAACACAATTTAAAAACAATTTAAAAACAGCAATATCAAAGATCAAAGGCCTGTCGAAACAGGTATGTCTTACATACCCTGCGGAAAGCTGATAGGTCATGCAAGGCACGGACTTCGGGTGGCAGAGTATTCCAGTGTGATGGTGCCACTGCTGTAAAGGCTCTGCGTCTGGTTGCTGTTAGACGCAAGGTCTTGACACTGGGA